GGGCGCTTCTCTTGTGAAACTCTCAAGTCATAACCACCATGATGGACATGCTCCCATTCTCCTTGTCCATGACCTGCCTGTTTTTATTGTTTGTCCTGATTTTTATTTACCGATATAAGTTATACTATAGGAAGGTAAGTGTTTCGTTGCTATACGAACAGTTAACTTATTGCATAGATGCAGACGATGAATCTGCACGGGGTTGAAGATATGATGGCCAGACCACACACCAGATGACGAAAAGACGACGACGTTTTGGTCCGTCCTGGATCATTGTCAAGTCGTGTTTGACGACCGTTTCTTCATCTTCTGATGTGTGTGGTTCGGTCATCGGTATTCTTCAACTTTGCTTGCTCCTGTCAGGGGCCCATTTATATTATAAAGGTCGCCACAGACATACACTCCTTCAGAGAAGGATAACAGTTAATCCCAGCAATGGAAACCTTACATTTGAAGATAAATTAAGAAAGCTTTACTCTTCTTTACTCTTGAGACTAAGGGAAGACTTGTTTGTTAATTAATGTAACATAATAGACGTGTTGATATATATTTATCTCCCTGGCGAAACAGGTCCATAACCAACAATTCTCACGTTTTCCAGAAGAACTGTTCGTCCAAGTGTTCGGTAGAGGATCCTTGCTGCCTGCCAGACTCACGTTGTGGAGAACTGCCTTCCTGCTCCCGCACGCTGACCCTTCACCAGCTGCAGGCCCTCGGACACGTCAACAGTGGGGTGAACACCGAGGCTTTCGGACAGACAGAACCATCTGTAAGTCTTTCACGGGAATCTGAGACCTTCATGTCCCGTATGCAAAACAAGAGAACTGTGCCTCTGCCGCCCCTGATCATTGCAAAGCCATCCAATGACGCGTCGGCAGTACGCTCTGCACAAAGGTCTTCCGAAGAGGCTAGCCCGGAGCTGTGGTTCATCAACTCTGCTGCCACAACGGCTGAGATCTCCAATGTCGACCAGTTCGGCGGTAAGGTCTCCAGCGAGACCTCTGCTCACCATGAAACATTCCCAAGTCTCTCAAGGAACATCCGTGTTCCCAAGCTCTTCCGGAAGAATTCCAGTGTTAACAAGAGAATTGTCAGATCTCAGTCAACCACGTCCCTTGTGGCGTCTTCACCAGAAGATAACCACTACCTTAGCGACTCCGCTCTGCACATGTAGACGCCAACTTGTGTTGCTCTTTGACCCAAGCATTTGGTCAGGTCGGTAGAGCGACGACTTAAATGACAGGACACCGTCCTTATAGACCTTCCTGGTCTTCCTATGTCCTCCCCACAAATGTCCCATGTGTCGACGAGCCTCCCGGACCCAGATTGGTCTCATCCAATCACACAGCCACAGACCTTCGACCTGATACATTGTAATCATGGTCATCTTCCCATCCGGAGGACTTTTCCTGGTAATTATAATTCCTTGCATCTGGTATTGATGCCGCCTCCTGGTACCCGTCCTAAAGTCAAAATGCGACGTTCTATTAGGAGGACGGGTTGATTTATGAAAACTGTATCATGAAAACGACATGAGAACAAAACTTATACAGTATTACATGCATGCCATGTAATACTGTACAGGTTATGTGTAAAGACATACATGTATGTAATACAAATGCCTCTAGCAATGGTGTTTAATTATACACACACACCTTGATTTCCTTGAGTATTATACGTATAAAATCGCCATTCCTATGACTGTATCTTGGTGTCTGTATTATTAAAATATAAATTAAAAATAATTTTGATTACCTGTCCTAAAATAGTGAAATTTTGATTTTTTTTTGGGTGGTAATGCATTAGACACCTGGCCCTCAAGTCTGAATTTGTTCTTGAATTTGTCAAATCTGTCAATTTGTTCATTTGATGCATCACGCTATTGTGATTTCTGTGTGTAATGAAGTAAGGGCGAAGAGGGAGAACGGCCTATTGACATAGCTCGAGTGCAGGGGGGAGTTGTGTAAAATCCTGGTTTGTGTCTCGGAGAGGCTGCAGGATCCAGTAAGTTCAGTAGAACTTCGGTTTCAACTCTTTTACCCTGTCGTAGCTCAGTCGATTTAGGCTGCGTCTGGGATGCTCCCGGACGCAGGTTCGAATTTTCGTCACGGCCCTTGTGGATTTGTTCCTCAAGTCTGAACATCACGCACCTGACCCTCAAGTCTGAACATCACGCACCTGACCCTCAAGTCTGAACATTACACACCTGACCCTCAAGTCTGAACATTACACACCCGACCCACAAGTCTGAACATTACACACCCGACCCACAAGTCTGAACATTACACACCTGACCCACAAGTCTGAACATTACACACCCGACCCACAAGTCTGAACATTACACACCTGACCCACAAGTCTAAACATTACACACCTGACCTACAAGTCTGAACATTACACACCTGACCCACAAGTCTGAACATTACACACCTGACCCACAAGTCTGAACATTACACACCTGACCCACAAGTCTAAACATTACACACCTGACCTACAAGTCTGAACATTACACACCCGACCCACAAGTCTGAACATTACACACCCGACCCACAAGTCTGAACATTACACACCTGACCCACAAGTCTGAACATTACACACCCGACCCACAAGTCTGAACATTACACACCTGACCTACAAGTCTGAACATTACACACCTGACCTACAAGTCTGAACATTACACACCCGACCCACAAGTCTGAACATTACACACCTGACCTACAAGTCTGAACATTACACACCCGATCCACAAGTCTGAACACTACACACCTGACCTACAAGTCTGAACATTACACACCTGACCTACAAGTCTAAACATTACACACCTGATCCTCAAGTCTGAACATCACGCACCCGACCCACAAGTCTGAACATTACACACCTGACCCACAAGTCTGAACATTACACACCCGACCCACAAGTCTGAACATTACACACCCGACCCACAAGTCTGAACATTACACACCTGATCTACAAGTCTGAACACTACACACCTGACCTACAAGTCTGAACACTACACACCTGACCTACAAGTCTGAACATTACACACCTGTCCCACAAGTCTGAACACTACACACCTGACCTACAAGTCTGAACATTACACACCTGACCTACAAGTCTGAACATTACACACCTGACCTACAAGTCTGAACATTACACACCTGACCTACAAGTCTGAACATTCAGCCCGTTCTCCAAACAAAGACTCAAAAGTACATTCCATCCACCCGCCAACCCCCCCCCCCCCCCCCCCCCCCTGTTTATGAATGAAAAACAGTTTACACACGACTCAAAACTGATGACGTCCGAACAATTCCGGAACAAGTGCTTCACTGACGACTGGTGTTCGAACCACAACGCTGTAAATGCTTTACCCACGTACTACAAACACAAATAATCACCAACAGAACCTAAACACCCTAATCTAACCTATACCTATATATGCACAATATGCTAATATATTATAATATTAATTTATATTTGAGAAAATTCCTGTTTTGAATGAACAGTATGTTAAAATTTTCGAATGCGCCCGTGGGGTCGACCGCTGGATGTAATGGACTTGAGTCGAGGACGGGTTGACTGGCAAATACTTTCTAATATTAAAAAATGCAAGACCTTGCATGTGGATAATAACATTACCTTGCAGCAGTGATGAAGAAAAGGATCTTGGTGTCAGAATCCACCATTCACTGAAAGTTCAACAACAACTTTACTGCTGCTGTAAAAAGCTAACTAAACCCTAAGGCTAATCAAGCGTACCTTTGACTTAAAAGAAAAAGGTAATTATAGAACTGTATAAATCTCTGGTGCGCTCCCACCTAGATTACTGTATGGAGACCTCATCTTCAGAAAGACATAGCTGCATTGGAGAAACACCGGGCAACAAAAATCATTCCAGAGCTAAGTCAACTCTGGCGTATCTGGAACGGTTGAGGGCCACAAGGCAAAAATCACTGCAAACCAGGCCAGACCAGAACTCATTGAAACTTTTAAAATACTGAACAACTTGGAGGATGTTGATCCAGACAACTTCAAGGTTAGATGTAACACATTCAAGGAGCAACAGTTTCAAGCTCAACAAGCCACAATGTTGGACTGAGAACAGGTAATGTTTTTTTCACCCACAGGGATATTAATTAACCCATGGAACCGCCTACCCGCCGAAGCCGTAAATAATTCCAAATGCCAAAACATTGACGAATTTTAAAATCCAACTTAAAAAAATCTACTAGACAAATGGGGATCTTTGACAAGCCGACGGCTTCTTGTTCTAGACCACTAGTGTTAGTGGCCCTCAGGTAAATTCAGGTAAACTAATAGCTGTTTAAGCCGCGCTGTAGGTAACATCTCGGAGTCCGCTGATTTTATTGGATGATCAACAGATGTTTGGCTCTTCTTACATGATAGTATGATAGATGAAATTACTAATGTGGATTTCAGTTTGCCTCAGACCTACAAGGTTTTGTTGATGTTGTTGGATGAATTGAAATTGAAATAAGTTTATTGAGGTAAAATACACACAAAGGGATGAGGTAGCTCAAGCTATTCTCACCCCGTTCAGTACATCGTGTTCATACATCCATAGACACACATCACAAACAATAAATATATTGCCGAACATTCTGAGAGATAAACATATACATTTCCTCCTTTACACAAGTAGTATGGTATCAGACGTACACACAAATACTTTTATGATGTTGGTGTACTATTGCTCTAAGACTGCCCATAGGCACTCTAAGGGTATAATCAACTTTGAAGGCAGATTCTTTTTTTCTAACTCATCAGCTCTATTATGCATTCGCAGGCCAACATGAGACGGAATCCACCTGAAGTGAACTCTTTTATCATCATTAATAAATTTGTTGTATTTTTGTGTTAAGGAACAACATATATAATTATATCTATGGAATATTCCAGCCCACAGTGAGTCCAGGCCACATTACTGGAACGTCTTTTGTTTATTGGTTATAACCCGAGCGAGGAATCTATAGTCTCTAGAATACTACGCTGGTCTAGGACACCAGAATTACTCCTCTCAGGAGCATTGTTATACCTTCATGCTCGCAGCAATGGCAATAGATATTTTTTGAGGGCGTTTGGAGAATATTATTGCTAGTGGGTTTAGGAATATAATGGTAATATTTACATATCCCCTCCAGCGCCTCTTGTTCCTTGTCAAGCTAGACGCGGCACCCTCCTCTATTTGCCCATTTGTAACGGTAAGAAACTGATGGAATTAGTTTTAAGGTGACGTGATCGAAGACGGTGGCCGGCGGCAGCCATTGGGAGGTGTCTGAGGGTGGAACAAGGCGGGGGAAGGGAGAAGAGTGTGGCTTGTGTGCTATGTTGCCCGGGCCGCTGCCAGGCCTGAGGAGGCTGCAGGCTCGCGCCTCTCTGACCACCCACAACAACTTCTTAAATGGTCACTATGGCGCGACTAACACCCCAATTGGCCTTTAAAGACGACCGGGGGGAGCGGAGAGGGCGGGGGTTTCCCCCAGGGTGGTCAGCTGCCCCCGGGTTGTGGGGTTGTGGGAGCTAGAGGGTAATATGTGTGTGTGTGGCGGGGGTCGGGAAGCGGCAGAAGGTGGTAAGCATCATGGCGGGAGGTGGCTGCGGGACACAAGGGCATAACGACGACGCCCGGCAAACTATCCTCGTTTGAATGTTGTTTGTGGGGGTGTTTGCTTTGTTTGGTGGTGGGGGGCTGGGGACAGTTGTCAGGGGGGTCCTGGTGGGCGTGGGGGGAGGTGGGGTAGGAGACTGGCCCCAGGGAGGGCCTGGTTGGCTTAGGGGGTAGAAGTATTGGTGTTTGGTGGTGTTGGGAGTATAGGTGTTTAGTGTAATTGAATTCCAGCGCCACATACTAAATATAGCCAAAGAAAACTCTAAAACAGTTTGCATTGTTTCTAAAATCAGATATTATGTACCTGGTAATGCTTTATTATTCTCTCATCTACACTTATCTCACATATTAACATCTCACATAAGGGTCCGTGTAGTACAGTCGGGTTCATTCTCGACTCACAATTGAGAATTCTGGATTCGATTTGCAGGAGGGACAAAAATGGTTGGAGACATTATCACCTAATGCCCCTGTTCACCTAGAAGCAAGTAGATACCCAGGACTTAATCAGCTGGGGGTTGCATCTTTGGGAGGGATCTATAATTTGACATTAGGGGGAGACCTTGATATAAGCTTAACATGTTAAAAACACTCTGGCTGCCTGTCACCCAACACAATGAATTATCAATTATATGGTATCTGTGCCTGAGGTTCTACTAAAAATTAACTACGACCTCTAATTACTCAACACAAATCAGCAATTAGAAGAATAACAAAGTCAAGCCCCAGGCAGCACTCGGGCACCTTAATTAAATCTTTGAATATGTTTGATATTAAGTCACTGCACATCCTCTTAGGTGCACTCTTTATAAAACTGCTAATACAGTGTTATATATTAGCAATGCTATGTAAAGCAATGCTAATCCCAACCTTAAACCCTTCCTAGAGGGTTGTAACAGAACCCATGGGCACCACACTAGAAAAAATATCCATTTGATATGCCAAGAGTGCAACTTAACCAAAGTAGAAATGCTCTACAAATCAAGGATCCCAAATTGGGAGATGATCTTCCCAGTCTCCCTCACAACCAGTTTAAGAGAGAAACTAAGTACAACTTAATCAACTCTTATGTAGTCTAGCTTACCTCCTAAATGTCAACCTATGTTTTGCTGTTATTGAATATTATTACAAGTTATTGAACTTGTAAAACTGCTGATATCGGTCGGCCATGTAAAAATAAAAAAAAACTATTCCTTCTGTTTATTTAGTGGAAATTACTATCTTCTGTTCTGTTGCAATTTGATGATGGTCATATTGATAATTGTATTTAGGGAAAAGTACATACATACAAAATATGTTTTACTGTTTTACCTGAGTGCCACTAACCCTAGTGGCCCTCAACGAGGACAGGAAGCTGGCAAGCAGAATGTTGGCTTTCTAGATAGAGCTAGTATATACTAGTACTATGCTTAGAGTCAGTAATATGCACAGCGTTTTGGGCAAGATGTGGGGAAAATAAACTGAAAAACCAAGACTGAGAATAAAAGTATGAATTGAACTGAAGTAGAAAAACAAATTATAATAATTACAAGTTAAATGGAACAGCAGAAATTGCAACAGAACAGCAGATAATAATTGTAATTAAATAAACAAATGGAATACAATTTTCTTTTAAGTTTATTCATGGCAGATATCAGCAGTTTTACAAGTTAGCCATTACTGTAATCATTAATGTTTGATAAGCAATACATAGGTTGATATTTAGGAGGTAAGGTAGATTACATGGGGTTGGTTAGGTAGTACAGTACTTAGTTTTTCTCTTAAACTGGTTGAGAGAGTTAAACTTGAATGGCCCTTAGTAAAACTATGTTGTGCATGCTGTATTTCTAAAAATTACAAATTATGTGGAAAGGAATTAAAGAACTCTAATAAAGAATGAGATACAGGGGTGGTTTAGGATAGTAAACTGTCACCAGAGGAACACATAAAGAACATTGTGAGAGGAGTGTATGCATCGCTGTCCAACTTCAGACTTGATTTTAATTACATGGTGACATACTAAAGAATCTGTTCATGACTTTTGTGAGACCAAAATTGGAATATGCAGCAGTTGTATGGTGTCCATATCTCAAGAAGCACATAAATAAACTGGAAAAGGTGCAACGGCATGCTACAAAATGGGTTACTGAACTCAAAAACAAAGAGTTATGAGGAGAGGCTAGAGACGTTAAATATGCCAAAACTAGAAGATAGAAGATACAGTCTCCGTGGTGTAGTGGTAAGACACTCGCCTGGCGTTCCGCGAGCGCTATGTCATGGGTTCGTATCCTGGCTGGGGAGGATTTACTGGGTGCAATTCCTTAATTGTAGCCTCTGTTTAACGCAACAGTAAAATGTGTACTTGGATGAAAAAACGATTCTTCCCGGCAGGGGATCGTATTCCAGGGACCTGCCCGAAACGCTACGCGTACTAGTGGCTCTACAAGAATGTAACAACTCTTGTATATATCTCAAAAAAAGAAAAAGAAATGATATGATCACCACTTATAAAATTATAACAGGAATCGACCAAATTGACAAAGAATTATTCCTGAAACCAGCAACTTCACGAACAAGAGGACACAGGCTCTAGCTAAGAAAACAAATGATCAAATCCACAAAGGCTGTGGCAAGGGTTCGAACCTAAGCCCAAGAGGATCCCAGACGCTGCCTTAATCGACTGAGCTACGATATGGTAAAAGAATTGCAACCGGGAAATCATCCTGATCTACCGCTTGTCCTGCAGCCTCTCCGAGACACAAACCAGGGTTTTACGCAATTCCCCATGCACCCGAGCTCTGCCAATAGGCTGTTCTACCTCTTCGCCCTTACCTCTTCAAAGAAGAGGTGGAGGCCTCTTCGAGAAGGTGGTGGAAGCCAAAACCGTCGGTAGTTTCAAAGTGTTATACTGTACAACAAAAAGTGCTGGAAAGACGGGATACCACGAGCATAGCTCTCATCCTGTAACTACATAAAGGTTACTTGGGTTAGGTTACTCACTGGCTGACTGTGACTGACTGACTGAAGGTGACTAACCAACTGTGACTGACTGACTGACTGACTGACTGACTGACTGACTGACTGACTGACTGTGACTGACTGACTGACCGACCGACTGTGACTGACTGACTGACTGACTGACTGACTGACTGACTGACTGACTGACTGTGACTGACTGACTGACTGTGACTGGCTGACTTGACTGTGACTGACTGACTTGACTGAGACTAGCTGACTTGACTGACTGACACTGACTATGACTGACTGACTTACCGACTGACTGACTTGACTGACACAAACTATGACTGACTGACTTATTGACTGTCTGTTGGTGTCAGTGTCATGAATGGAGCTGAAGCGTGGAGTCTGGGAACCCAAGGCCTTCACAACTCACGTCACTTGGCTGCAAACTCCTGAATCTTATTGTATGCTCAGTGACTTTGAGGAGACCATTGACCCTGGCTGGCCTGGTGGGCACTAGTCACAAAGCCCCGACCCAGGGCTGAGGCATCAGTGAAGATGTCGAGCGAGGGGCTAAGGAACCCAACCCTCATGAGCCTAAGGAGGAAGCTGGCAACACAGCTGCCAGGGAAGGGTCAACGATCGCGGCGGCAGGGAAACAGGCTGCCCAAGATCGGGCAGCGGACAGAGCCGGTCGGCCGAGCAGACAGCACACTGTACTTGTGATCCTGTGGTCCCGGGTTCGATCCCGGGCGCTGGCAAGAAACAATGGGCAGAGTTTCTTTCACCCTATGCCCCTGTTACCTAGCAGTAAAATAAGTACCTGGGTGTTAGTCAGCTGTCACGGGCTGCTTCCTGGGGGTGGAGGCCTGGTCGAGGACCGGGCCGTGGGGACACTAAAGCCCCGAAATCATCTCAAGATAAGAAGATACCAGAACAGCCACAAAAACCACACCTTGCTTAGCCATTGCACTGAGTAAAGCACCTTAAAGGCGCTCTGAGCGTTGTGTGATTGTTTTTTTAATTATGCCATATTTTAAGGTTTTTTAATGTTTTCATCGCTCTTTGTGATTTGAAATGAAAATGATTGAGTTTGGAAACATTTTGACATTACCATTAGCTAAACATTTATAAAAACAACAAAAATATGTCCTTAACAACTGCACCATGAAATTTTTGCGAAAAACTGGTGCGCAGTGCAGGGGCTAGAGGATAAACTTTGCAGGCAAAGTTCAGACTAATAACCACTTGAGCAACAGTAAAGTTACCTGGGGGCCAACTCAACACTTAGCAGATGATGGCGTGGCAACTAGGTGAAGGCGGCCAAAGGAAGGGAAAGCGAAGCCGACTGAGATTTCCCACATGAGGCCTAGCCAAGTCTAAACTTGGGACGGAACCAACCTGGTACTTCTGCCAGTTGCCCAGGTAATGAAACCTGGCGAGCTGGTAAAGAAGAGGTCCCTGGCCAGCAGACACGCTGGGAGGCTGGGAGCCCTCACCAGCCAGGCTCTGAGGTAGGCCTGTGGATGTCTGCCTCGTGCAGTGAACATAATAACCAGCATCGTGTTCACTGATATTTGAATGTTGTACATAGTCTGAGGCATCACACCCAGGAAGGGTGCCCACACTTTTTTTCCAAGATGGCCTTTGTTTACCAAGATGGCTTGAGAAAGCAAATGTGAGCCCTGTGTGTGTGTGCAGGATTTTAAATCTTATGCGGTATTTTAAATCATCCCTCGTTGACCTGTGCAGTGGGATCAGAATTGGCACTATCGTTCCTGGTTGACTCGCTCATTTGAAAGATTAAGTCTCTTCACATCTGTTTTTATTATGCATTTTAATAACATATGTTATTTTTGTTAATATTATTACAATATGCAGAGAATGAGTCACAATAACACTACTACTGGTAGTATTGTGACTACCAATTTTTGTCAACTACCATTCAAGCTGTCATTGCAACCAATCTTATATTGTTTCTGCTGTATTATGCCTACCAATTTTTTTTTGTCAACTACCATTCAAGCTGTCATTGCAATCAATCTTAGCTACCTATGTGATTTAATATACTGTACCTACAATTTTCTCTCATCTTTTTTTCATTTCATGTAATCTGTTATCATTTTTTGTCTATAATTTTGCAAGTATTTACCTCCTTAAAATTTTCTTAGATTAAGGACCTGCCTGAAACGCTGCACGTGCTAGTGGCTTTACAAGACTGTAATTACCATATTTGTATCCTCACATTCCTTATGTACATTCTTGTATATGCATAAATAAATAACAAATAAAATAAATAAATACTAAGAACCTCACACATATCAAATGAAAGTGACAACGTTTCTATATATCCTGGACCCTGTTCTTGCAGTGTCATTCTTGATAAGGTCCAGGATGAACCGAAATGTCTTCCCTTTCATTTCATATTACTGTATATGTAAAGATTGGGATATTAATACACTATTTAATAGATATATTTATATTTACAGGGCACACTCCTAATGGCAAGAATTTGACGCAAACACGAGAATGGCTGAGCCTGCTTCAGAGGCAGCTGGCTTTGCCCAAGACCTCTTCTCTCCTCTGCAGTTTTGTGAGGTGGTGCAGGAGGGTCAGGCAGGGCACCACCACGTTAAGGAGGAGCTGCCCCGGCCGCAGCCTCCGCAGCTGGCCACCACGCTATCCACCGCACCAGTCACCTCCATGGTGAACATAACTGGGGTCACGACATCTGTACCCTCATCCACGTCCACTCAGCACATACACCTTCAAGCACAGCCTATCATGGCACAGATGGTGCAGCAGCATCAGCATGTACAGCATCAACACGTTCAACAACACCAGCAGCAGCAGCAGGGCCTTTCTCAGCCCAGACTACTTCAGCAGCAGATGACTGTTCAACAGCCACCACAACCTATTGCTCAGCAGCAACTTCTCCAGCAGCACCAAGCTCAGCAACAAGCTCAGCAGCAAGCTCAGCAGCAAGCTCAGCAGCAAGCTCAGCAGCAAGCCCAGCAACAGGCCCAGCAACAGGCCCAACAACAGGCTCAGCAACAGGCCCAGCAACAAGCCCAGCAGCAGCAGCAGGTACTGCAGCAGGTGCAGCAGCAGGTGCAGCAGCAAGTACAACAGCAGTCATCACAGCAGCTAATACAAACACAACCACAGCAGCAGCAGACAAAACAACTTCAGCAACAATCTACTCCTCGGCAACCTCGGCAGCAAACTCCATCACAACAAATGCAATCACAGCAACAAATGCAACAGCAGCAAACACAGCACCAGCAGCAGGCACAACAGCAACAGCAGCAGGCACAGCAACAAACACAACAGGTGCAACAGCCTCAGCAACAGCAACAAATACTGACATCTGTTAACAGTGTCCAGCTAGTTAATGGCCTACAGATGCCCATCACCGTTCATCACGCCGGCATATCGAAGACTCCGGCAACCGTGGCAGTGACCACTGGCACAGCCTCACAGTCGCCCCCGATCATAGTATTGGCTGGAATTATGACTTCGAATAATAGTCGTTAACACTTTCGCGCTCTCGGCGCTCAAAAAAAAACAATACCCCAGATGCTTTCGGCACTTCGCGCGCCTACGCGGTAAGACCGAAAAGTGTACACTCTTTTGACTGTCCTGACAATAATTGAAGGCGCACGTATTTAAATTTGGTATCACTGTGTTCGCAATGAAATTGTCTATAAGAGCATACCTATAAAATGCCGCCCAAGCATAAGGAGTATCAACACCAAATAAAAAACTATGCAGATCACTCGCCGAGAGCGCCAAACAGCAACAAAATGTTTCCACTCTCTTAATGGTTGCGAAGCCTACAGTTGTCCTACATCGCTAATTTTGGTATCATTGGAATCGCAATAAAATTCTCTACACGGACATATGCATATGAATGTTTAATATAGGTAATTGCCCACCCGCAAGAGTGTGTGAAGTGGAGAGTAGTTAGCCGCGAGCGCACTGGCGAAAACACGGGGGAAATCATGCTTGGAAAGTTTATACGTTTCCTGACCCTACTTTTCTATGTACGTATTTCTTTTTTATACCAATGTGTTCGCAATAAAATTTTCTATAAGATGAACTGTATAACATTTGTACAAAGCATGTGTAAGAGAAGCGCCAAATATAGAACCACGTCGCTCAGTATGCGTTCGCGGCAGAAACGAACGCATTATTTTCGTTCGTTTGATGTTTGTCATGTTTATACTTGTTGAAACATTTTATAATTTGTATGACAGTGATCGCAGTAAAATTCCCTACACAGACATATACATAACACATACAAATATTTCCCACGTGTTGGATATATCAACGGCTAAAGGGAACCCACTGCCACACGCTCGCCACACCCCCAAACATACTTTGTGTATTTTTTTTTTTACTCATAGAAGTTTATGTGATATAATATTCATTCTGGTACCAAAACATTCGCAAATAAATTCCCTACAAAACAAAAGTATTCCCATCCATTTCGGTTAAAAAATGGAATTTATAGAAATATTTTTTCGATGCACGAGAAAACTCGGCTGTTATGCGGAATCGTAAGAGAAAACGGCGACGAGTTATCTCTAATCTAAAGCGCGAAAGTGTTAATTCTCTCTCGCAATGTTAAAAGTTTTCATCCTATTTCTTTTTAAAGTTGTGGATGGAATTGGCTTCAACAATCGAAGTTGTACAGCATCAACTGCAGCCAAAAAAGTTTTACGACTTCAATTGGCTTCAACAATTTCTTCCTTCGGTGCATTCCACCTGCTGACCACCCGTACAAGGAATAAGAACTTTCTTACATTTCTTCGACTTAACTGTGTGTCCAGCTTCCACTAATAACCACTTTTTCTGCCTCTTGAATATAAATAGACTTTCTTTATCCACTTTATGAATTCACTTCAAGATTTTGTATGTAGTTATCATATCCCTTCTGTTTTGTTTCTTCTTTCCTCTAAGGTAGTGAGGGAGAATTCTCTCAACTTGTACTCATAGTTGAGGCCTCTCAATTCTGGTACCAATCTAGTTGCAAACCTTTGAACTTTCTCAGGTTTGTGTTTCTGCTTCATAAGGTGTGTGGGTTCCATGCTGGAGCTGCATACTCAAGTAATGGTCTCATATAGGAAGTGTATGCCCACCAGAAATGTGCACAATTTTTGGATCCTAACTTCAGCCAAAAAAGTATTACAACTTCAAATACAAATACTGCAGTTAAGTTGTCACATATTTTATTTGACAGTTGATCCATGGGTCCCAACTTTAATTGAAATTGAAAGGGAACTATTGTTTCCAAATTAATGTAAGGTAATTTGTGGTGCATTATTATGTAACACTGGACTTACTAAGACTTAACTTCTTCACATATATCCCTCCAATTGAGGGAGTTGTACTTGCCTATCTTACCATCTGTGATCATGACTCCAGACCCACGAATGTGTTGACTTGTAAATACTGGGTGCTTCAGATCCCTGTAATGTGATTGAGTAACATGCCCTTCTGCTCTTGCTAGGGCCCTCGTCCATTACCATAGTTGCCTATGGAATTACTGCTGTTGGTAAAGTAAAATGTTTACCTCCTCTCTCCTCCATTTGGATTGGTCAATACAGCAACGGTCTCGCTTCTTGTAGGTCAGCACTCGATTCCAACAGTCCAAGTGGTTGGCCACCAGTCCTTTCATGTGCTGTATTGCTATACTGGCTTAGCACTTTCCCTGATGTACCCCTCAGCCCAGCTCAAGTATTTCCGACTCAAACTGCCAACCTACGTTTTGGTTGTCCATCGAGAGTTCTGTAGTTTTCAAGTCATTTGAAATATCTGGAGGTGTCTTGAAGGCTGAGGTATTTCCAGAGAAAACAAGACATTGTGTACCTTTACATAAATACAAATACAGTAATGATTAAATTTGTTCATGTATTATTGAAAGAAGGATGGAATACTTTTAAATTTATACTGTCTTGGCGAGTGCATTTGGTCACGAATTCATCAGGGTCCAGGATGGACTGAAATGTCATCAGGGTCCAGGATGGACTGAAATGTCATCAGGGTCCAGGATGGACTGAAATGTCATCAGGGTCCAGGATGGACTGAAATGTCATCAGGGTCCAGGATGGACTGAAATGTCATCAGGGTCCAGGATAGACAGAAATGTCATCAGGGTCCAGGATGGACTGAAATGTCATCAGGGTCCAGGATGGACTGAAATGACATCACTTTCATTTCATATGTGTGGGTTGGGTTATATTTTTGTTCAGCCATGTTGTGATTTATTGTGTGTGTGCTAAATAATGTTTTACTCAGGTGAAACCTGTGCCTGTGAAGCGCACGTGGAGGAGACCGTGGAAGAAGAAGAAGGAGAGAGAGAAAAAGCCGCCAGTGAAGAAGGCGCGAAGAGTGAAGAGAAAACGCATTGTTGTGCCCAAGAAATGTATTATCCACATAGATCCAAGGAATGGTCCTATGGTAATGTATTATTGACATTCTTTATAGTACAGAAAAGCATTTGAGAAGTTAGTGATGAACACTTTTGTGTGAAAAAGGTCACGTTGAGACAACAATCAGGCTTGTGACCGATTAACCCCAATCCACTCGGTTATTTAAAGGTACTACATCAATCTACACACTTTTAAAAATAGCTAACAAATCAAATGGAAAAGAGCACATATGGCATTTGGAGGACAGGACGAAATCACATATAGCAATTGAGGCAGTGATTGGGTTAAAAGATAATTGATATATGGCAGTTCAAGTCTTTGAAGAAGCATATGCTGTGATAAACTAGAGAGGAGCTTTGAATTGTAATGCATATTATTGAAATTTATTAAATGGTACTTTAAGTTTTGCTAAGAGCTTCTATTTAGAGGGTAGATCATGTGTCAAAGGTAGTGATCACGTATAAGTTACTGATTTGATCACGTATAAGTTACTGATTTGATCATGTATAAGTTACTGATTTGGTCACGTATAAGTTACTGATTTGATCATGTATAAGTTACTGATTTGATCATGTATAAGTTACTGATTTGATCACATATAAGTTACTGATTTGATCATGTATAAGTTACTGATTTGATCATGTATAAGTTACTGATTTGATCATGTATAAGTTACTGATTTGATCATGTAGGAGTAGTACATGAGAGTTGAGTAATGACCTCGTGGTATCCCCTGTGACCCATGGTATCCCCTGTGACCCATGGTATCCTCTGTGACCCGAGGTATCCTCTGTGACCCGTGGTATCCTCTGTGACCCATGGTATCCTCTGTGACTCATGGTATCCTCTGTGACCCATGGTATCCTCTGTGACCCATGGTATCCTTCTGTGACCCATGGTATCCCCTGTGACCCATGGTATCCCTCTGTGACCCATGGTATCCTCTGTGACCCATGGTATCCTCTGTGACCCATGGTATCCTTTGTGACCCATGGTATCCCTGTGACCCATGGTATCCCTCTGTGACTCATGGTATCCTCTGTGACCCATGGTATCCTCTGTGACCCATGGTATCCTCTGTGACCCATGGTATCCCTCCGTGACCCGTGGTATCCTCTGTGACCCATGGTATCCCTCTGTGACCCATGGTATCCTCTGTGACCCATGGTATCCTGTGACTCATGGTATCCTCTGTGACCCATGGTATCCTCTGTGACCCATGGCATCCTCTGTGACCCATGGTATCCTCTGTGACCCATGGTATCCCCTGTGACCCATGGTATCCCTCTGTGACCCATGGTATCCTCTGTGACCCATGGTATCCCCTGTGACCCATGGTATCCTCTGTGACCCATGGTATCCTCTGTGACCCATGGTATCCTCTGTGACCCATGGTATCCTCTGTGACCCATGGTATCCTGTGACCCATGGTATCCCCTGTGACCCATGGTATCCCCTGTGACCCATGGTATCCTCTGTGACCCATGGTATCCCCTGTGACCCATGGTATCCCCTGTGACCCATGGTATCCCCTGTGACCCATGGTATCCTCTGTGACCCATGGTATCCTCTGTGACCCATGGTATCCTCTGTGACCCATGGTATCCTCTGTGACTCATGGTATCCTCTGTGACCCATGGTATCCTCTGTGACCCATGGTATCCCTGTGACCCATGGTATCCCTCTGTGACCCATGGTATCCTCTGTGACCCATGGTATCCCTCTGTGACTCATGGTATCCTCTGTGACCCATGGTATCCTCTGTGACCCATGGTATCCTCTGTGACCCATGGTATCCTCTGTGACCCATGGTAACCTCTGTGACCCATGGTATCCCTCTGTGACCCATGGTATCCATCTGTGACTCATAATATCAACGTAACTCATGATATCCCTATTCCGGCTTCCCGCTGTTTCTATCGTCAAACCTGCAGCCTGACAACCCAAACGCCACTTTGAAAATATAAATGTTTGCAAAACCAAAGTGTTTTTTTTTATGGGGGGAGCCCCTTCTGCTCCCTGGAGCTATCTGGGCTGATATGATTGTATTAGACTCCTGGCATCAATCAATGCACATGGAGTTCTAGGCCTACTCGGGACCACGAGGCAGAACCTGGCCCCCCTCAGAGAGGCACGAGGAGCAGTGGCCTATAGAAACCCCCGTGTGGTTGGAAGCATTTTATGTCTGCCATCGACCGGGTCAGTCACCCCGAGAGGTAAGCATCCCAAAACAAACCCCCTACTCCTGGTTAAAATATTGCTACTGAAAGTTGAACTAATTGACAGAACTCTCCAAATGAAAACGTGCAAACAAGCATCACGTGACCGCGTCACTGTCTGCGCCACTCCCCACCTCTCCAGAAGGGGGAAGGGGGAGCCCCGGACCCCCATGCAGGCTATCCACCCTGCAGTTCTGTGGCTGATGTGAAACTGGCAAGGTCTTTGACTCCTGAGATTTCCAGTTCTGTGCCTTGTGGTGTGGTTCTGTCTGATAGGTGGTACGCGAGGCAGGATTAATTTCAGAAGTACTCGGGCTGCATGCGCCTAGGGTCACCTTCCCTAGGTGCCCTGTAATAAGTATTGCCCTTTGCGTCACCTTGGGGTCTACCTCTGCTGGGTCTTTTGCTGCTCGGTGATTAACCGCCATTTGGAGTCAGCTGGGATTTTTGTTGCCCTTGTTTGCCTCTGGGTAGGGGTAGTTTTTGTGCCTCTGGTTGGGGCACAAGGTACTGTGCAGCTAGTTTTCACCTCTTATAGTGGCCATCTCTGTTCTGCCTGGGCACATTGTCCTCTTGCAGGATTTTATTTTACTTTTTGTTTTCCCTGCCTGGTGGTGGGGGGGGGTCTGCCTCTTGGTTTGGTCACACCCGTTTGTATCCTGGTGGTCCTCCGTTTGGCCCCCGTGAATGTACACTTCCCGGGGGTTCAGCTTTAGCAGTTTGCTAGGTAGTTTTGGGTGGCGGATAGCAGGACCCTGCCTGGGCTTTCCTTAGCAAGATAACGCAACTAAGGGCCCTGGGAAACCCCAAGAGCGCTCTGTGGTCCAATGGATGTGACCCCTGGATCCCTTCTCGCTTCGTGTGAGTTTAAAGGTTGCTCTGTCACCTTGTCTCAGGGTGACACTCACCAGTTGTGCCTCCGTCGTGCAGCCTGTTGAGTTAGTGACACTTTCAACCCAGAGTCTTGCAAGTTTTGTTCCTTGTTTGTGCTCCAGTTCACCCAGTCCACTGATCATGATATGTGGGTGCAGGCAGCTTCGGCGTTGCCTGCTCGGTTTAGGATGCTGCAGTGCGCTAGGTTGGTTGATACCCCAGATGCTCCAAGATTGCCCTGTTTTGGTTATAGGGACCTGGACTTGGGGGTGTTAGTTGCTCTGAATTTGGTTCTGTCCGCGTCCCCTTGTCCTTGCCCTTCTGTTGTTCGTCCCATTGATGGGGTGATGGCAGAGGAATCCCTTGCTGTTTGCTCACACCTGGTCCCACAATTTGTGTGCTTCTCAGGTCGTTTCGTGTGGCCTGTAGTAGTGTTGGCTGGCCCCTTCTCCTTTCGGAGGTTCGGGGTTAGCAGGGCAGGCCTCTTCTCCTGCGCTCTGTTAGGTCATCTTGGAATGTGTTTGCCTGGGCATGGTCGAAATGATCTTGTCCCTCCAGTGGGTTTCCCTTCTGTTTCTGGTTCCAAAACGAGACTGGGTGGACCTCTGGTTCATTCTGGACTTGTCCAGTCTGAACCCATGGATTTATTGCCCCTCCTTTTAGATGACTACTGTCCCAGGTCCATCTTCTTTTGGAGCCGGGCGCTTGGAAGTGTTCCTAGACCTCAAGGATGCGTATTGGCACATTCCGATTCATCGGGGTTCAGGGACTGGCTAGGTTTTGTTGTAGGGCGTCAAGCCTACCGCTTTCATTGCCTTCCATTCGGCTTGAATCTGGCACCTTGCATTTTCACACGCCCTCCTCAGGTCGTGGTGGCCTGTTTGTGTCTGTTAGTGGTTCAGGTTCTGGCCTACCTCGACGACTGGCTGGTGTGGGCTCCCAGCCGGTCTGCGTGTCTGCTCGCCAAGGATTTGGTTCTTTCCTAGCTCGCCGGGTTCGGGTTCCTGGTGAACTGGAGGGCACCCAATCTGGGCCCCTCTCCTGTTTGGTCTTGGCTGGGTATAGTGTGGAACTCTCGGACCGCTTTCTTGTCTCTCCCTCCGGCAGCTCTGCTGTGGTCTCGTCTTCGCCTGTTTCTGAGGGGCTGCTGGGTCACGGGGCAGTTGCTCGAGGGTTTGTGCGGGAGTTTGAACCTTGCTGTGATGGTCTACCTGCTGGGTCGGGTTTGGCTTCGTCGGCTGTTCTGGTTCCTTCGGGAACATCCCTTCCGCTTCTTTCACAATCACTGGGTTCGACCTCCGGAGGCCTTGCATCGGCTGCTGTGTCACCTCCTTCCTCTTCGGGTTTTTCGGGGTTCAGTGCCTTGTCGGCTACCCTCGCTTGAGGTGTTCACGGTCGCGTCATCTCTTGGCTGGGACTTTGTGGCCTGTGCTCACGAGGCCAGTCAGGGACAGTAGGGTTCCTCCTTCCGTAGGGCTCACGACAGTGCAGGAATTCGTGGCTGTGTGGCGGGCACTTCGGAGAATTCGGGTCACTCGAGGTTCGACGCTCCGGCTCCTTTCGGACTGCTCCCCAGTAGTTTATTGCCTGAACCGTTCGATGCGGTCCTTGGCTCTTTGGGGCTGGTCTCTTCGGGTGACTTGTCTGCTGAGTTCTCGGGGTTTGGCTCTCCTGACCGTTCACGTTCGGGGGTGTCCAATGTCCTGGTGGACAGCCTGTCTTGGTTCCTTCCCCTGTCTATGGAATGGACGGTCGATGCTGACTCATTCATTTGGCTCTGCCAGACATACGGGCCTCCAGAAGTGGACCTCTTCGCGTCAGCGGGGTCAAGGCATCTCTTGGTATATGTGGCCCCCTTCACCGACCGACTGTGAGATCGTTGGGGTCGATGCCTTCAGGCAGGACTGGGCAAGGTGGGGTTACCTGTACCTCTTCCCTGGTTCAGCTGTTGCTCCAGGTCCTGGCTCGCTTGGAGACTTACCAAGGGAGAGTTGTCCTTCTGGCCCCTTGGTGGCCGGCCCAGCCTTGGTTTCAGGCGCTGCTTGCTCGGTGTCTGAACATAGGGTCTTCCTGCGGTTCTGCCTCTTTCAGCAGATCGGCCTGGTCTGTTGTGTAGCTTGTTCGATCTTTTCCTCAAGTCTTTGCGTCTGGTCTTTCTGATGCGGGTCTATCACCATTTGTATGGTGAGCAGGTGGCTTCATTGATGTCCCACCTGTTTGTCTCGTCTCGGTGGCAGTATGAAGTCTCCTGGCGGTCCTTTCTTTATTTCATGTCCCTTTGTAGGTTTTCTTCTGTTTCGGATCAGATTGCGTTATCCTTCCTGTCTTGGTTGTTTCAGGACCGTCATCTTATGACGAATACTGTCTCCTCGTATCGTACAGCACTGGCTGAGCCGCTTCAGCTTGCGTTCGAGGTAACTGTTACTTCTGCCCCATTCCGCAAGCTGTCTCATGCATTGTTTCACCTCTGGCCTGCTCATACGCTGCCTGAGCCATCCTGGTCATTGGACCGGGTGCTTTCTTTTTTCTCTCTTCAACTCGGTTTGTTGGGACCCCTTCGGTTCAAGATTTTTTGTGAAGGCTCTTTTCTTGTTGGCATTGGCCTCTGGGGTTTGGGTTGGAGAGCTTCATGCTCTCCTCCAGCACAGAGGTTTCTGCTCTTTTGGTCCTGGTGGCTGGTTTGTTCGGTTGCAGCCATCTCCTTTTCTGGCAAAGAATGAGACTGCTGCTTTCTGGAGGGGTCCTTGGGTTGTTGATGCTTGGTTGGTTTGGCCAGGGGTGCATCATATGTGTTGTGTCCAGTTGCGGCTGTTCGCCATTACCTGTGCGCTAAGCCTCAGTGGCCAGGGATGCGCTTTGGATTGAGCCGGTTTCCCTTCTTCCCTGTTCCAAGGCTCGGGTCTCCCAGGTTGTCCCCAGAGTTATTCGGTCCAGCCAGCCTGCGGTCTCTCCTCGTGCCCATGACGTTCGTAAGTTTGCTGATTTGGCTGCCGTCTTCGGTAACATGGGCTGACATTTGGGCACAGGGTTTTTGGAGGTCGAACAGGGTCTTGGCCGCTCGCTACCTGGTCAATGTTCCTGGGCCCTAGTTGGGTATGTGTCGCATTGGGTCAGCAGCTGCAGCCAGTTATCGCGACTTCGAGTTGAGGAGCGAGTGACGACCGCCTACCGGGTAAGTTCCTCTTGTTTTGTCTTTTGTTAAGTTGCTCCGGAGAGCCAAAGGGACTCCCGCCAGAAAACCAGCGTTGAATGTAATGAAATGTCATTTTCTGGCCGAGACCCGAAGACTCATCGGCATCCCTCCCTCCCTCCGGTCAGGGTTTTTTTTTTGAGAGAGAGAGTTTTTGATATCCACCCTCAGAACTGATGGTATGGATTGCCGGCGCAAGGGAATGGGGGGAGCTGTGTAGACAGCGGCGCAGGGACTGTTGTGATGTCATGATCGTTTGCTTTTTTTCATTTGGGGGAGTTCTGTCTAACAGTTCGGCTTTCAGTAGCAATATTTTAACCAGATAGGGTTTGTTTTGGGGCGCCTACCTTTCTGGGTGGCTGACCCAGTTGATGACAGACATAGGCTGCTTTCAACCACATGGGGTTTTCTATAGGGCCATTTCTCCTCGTGCCTCTCTGAGGGTGACAGGTTCTAGCTCGTGGTGCCCCGGTAGACCTAAGAACTCCCTTTCCTTTGATTGATGCCAGGGTCTAATACATTCATATCAGCCCGGATAGCTCCGGGGAGCCTCCGGGTCTCACCCAAAAAATGACGTTTCATTACATTCAACGCTGGTTTTTTCAGATTGACACTGCTCTGAATCGAATTAAGAGAGAATCGGAGGAAGCCATCAATCAGCTAAAGCAAAAAAGACAGCGGATAAAGCTGAATCGGAATTCTGGCCGAGAGTATGTGAATCGTCTAGGGAAGGTGAGTATTCAGCTAAGACCAATTATATATATTTTTCATTCACCTGGGCACTAGGAGACTCGTACCACCGATCCCCCCTCCTACTTTGTGCTATGGATAGCCATAATAAGGAAGGATTACTGTGGAAGGAATTTCCACTGCATTTCATGAGAATAATTATCCTGTATAATGTATTGAGGGATTGGAGAACAGCGCATTAGTAAGACCTAATATTTTATGGTTCTGTTCTACTTCAAATGTGTTATAAGTTTGTTTGGGATTTTATTTATTTATTTTTTATTTTCTCCTAGTGATCCTTAACTTGTGAAAGAATTGCTTTAAGTGTGGTGTCTGTGTACACGTCTTCACATAGAACTGGTTTATATTTATGTTATAAGATATTCCAGTTATAAGAGGGAGAATATGTCCTTCTATTTCCCTAGTGCGATAGGACAAATATCTAGTTTTCGTATTCACTTCAGATATGTTTATATTCAGTGGGTATTATTTAATGATTTTTGCATGTTTCATCAGTGATTTTCAAGAAAGGTTACAACCATTGGACATCAATCAGAATTTCACCCTAGGTTGTCGGAGCGAGGATAATTGGTCCACCTTGTCACTGCCCTTTGAAGTGTTGGGAACGGATGGGTTCCAAAATATTAGAAATCTTCAACAACTTTTGGGATCTGAGTGACTTCAACCTTCAGAATTCGTATCTATTTACCTGCCTTAAGCTCTGTGATGTGAAACGGCGATACACCAAGAAGGTAAAGGTAGTTAATTGCATAACTATGTTTATTTAACTAGAATTAATTAGTATTAATTTGTACTCCTTTAGTTCCTAATTGTTTCTTAAGTTCGATTTGTTAGGATTGAGCTTCACACAGGTTTTTCAGTAACGTAACCCGTGTAGTGTTTGTAATGTGGTATGTAGCAGCGTGCTCATTGTGGAGAACCTTCCCTCTGTATCTCCCTGAGTGATCCCTCTGGAAACCTTCAAACCCAGGTGCTATTATGCTTGGTAATCAGAATCATATGGGTCCCCACTCACATTCAAGTTATCTTGAGGTTATCTTGAGATGATTTCGGGGCTTTAGTGTCCCCACGGCCCGGTCCTCGACCAGGCCTCCACCCCCAGGAAGCAGCCCCTGACAGCTGACTAACTCCCAGGTACCTATTTACTGCTAGGTAACAGGGGGCATCAGGGTGAAAGAAACTCTGCCCATTATTTCTCGCCAGCGCCTGGGATCGAACCCGGGACCACAGGATCATGTGTCCAGTGTTCTGTCCTCTCAGCCGCCGGCTCTCTTTAGGTGAATTTCTTGCCAAGAGTGTCCAAAAATCTACATGTTCTAAATTTTTTGCCTCTCAAGATGGTTACCTACACATTCCCATGATTTACCTGTTTACTCCCACCATTGACTCTAAAACAATGAATGCAAATATTTTTGGATTACCTGAAGATTTGGTTACCTGAATTTGGATTAGCGCACTCTTGCAGTACCATACCTACCTTGAGGCTACCTTGAGGTGCTTCCGGGGCTTAGTGTCCCCGCGGCCCGGTCCTCGACCAGGCCTCCTGGTTGCTGGACTGATCAACCAGGCTGTTAGACGCGGCTGCTCGCAGCCTGACGTATGAGTCACAGCCTGGTTGATCATTTATCCTTTGGAGGTGCTTATCCAGTTCTCTCTTGAACACTGTGAGGGGTTTGCCAGTTATGTCCCTTATGTGTAGTGGAAGCGTGTTGAACAGTCTCGGGCCTCTGATGTTGATAGAGTTCTCTCTCAGAGTACCTGTTGCACCTCTGCTTTTCAACGGGGGTATTCTGCACATCCTGCCATGTCTTCTGGTCTCATGTGGTGTTATTTCTGTGTGCAGGTTTGGGACCAGCCCCTCAATTATTTTCCACGTGTAAATTATTATGTATCTCTCCCGCCTGCGCTCAAGGGAGTACAGATTTAGGCTCTTTAGTCGGTCCCAGTAATTTAGATGTTTTACTGAGTGGATTCTAGCAGTAAAGGATCTCTGCACGCTCTCTAGGTCAGCAATTTCTCCAGCTGATAGCACCATAGCACACACTAATGAATCACGAATGCCTACTGGAAACCACAACTTGAATGTGACCCCTACAGTAGAGGGAAGAAGGTGAGTGTACACGATCAGCCACATTACCAAAGGATAACCACCGGAAAGGTAGCATGCACCAAAAGAGGCAACTGCTTGGACAACTACAGTATTTATACAGTAGTAGACAACTACAGTATTTATACAGTAGTAGACAACTACAGTATTTATACAGTAGTTGTTTGTGTCCAACTGCCAGTTGGCTCCCCTCACTTGCCACCTGCTTGATGGGGTTCTGGGAGTTCTTCTACTGCCCAAACCCGGTCCGAGGCCAGGCTTGACTTGTGAGAGTTTGGTCCACCAGGCTGTTGCTTGGAGCGGCCTGCAGGCCCACATATACCTGGTTGATGGGGTTCTGGGAGTTCTTCTACTGCCCAAGCCCGGTCCGAGGCCAGGCTTGACTTGTGAGAGTTTGGTCCACCAGGCTGTTGCTTGGAGCGGCCTGCAGGCCCACATATACCTGGTTGATGGGGTTCTGGGAGTTCTTCTACTGCCCAAGCCCGGTCCGAGGCCAGGCTTGACTTGTGAGAGTTTGGTCCACCAGGCTGTTGCTTGGAGCGGCCTGCAGGCCCACATATACCTGCTTGATGGGGTTCTTGGAGTTGTTCTACTGCCCAAGCCCGGCCCGAGGCCAGGCTTGACTTGTGAGAGTTTGGTCCACCAGGCTGTTGCTTGGAGCGGCCCGCAGGCCCACATATACCTGGTTGATGGGGTTCTTGGAGTTGTTCTACTGCCCAAGCCCAGCCCGAGGCCAGGCTTGACTTGTGAGAGTTTGGTCCACCAGGCTGTTGCTTGGAGCGGCCCGCAGGCCCACATACCCACTATACCCCAGTTGGTTCGGCACCTGTTTTTAGAATCAATCTAGTTTTCTCTTAAAGATGTCCATGGTTATTCCGGAAATATTCCTTATAGTCGCTGGGAGGACATTGAACAACCGCGGACCTCTGATGTTTATACAGTGTTCTCTGATTGTGCCTATGGCACCTCTGCTCTTCACTGGTTCTATTCTGCATTTTCTTCCATATCGTTGACTCCAGTATGCTGCTATTTTACTGTGCAGATTTGGGACCTGGCCCTCCAGTATTTACGGTATATATATAAGTATATACAATACAGTACTGTATTTACATACAGTACTGTATTGTAGCTACTTGATGGTGAAGGGTCCCAGGTAGCTACGCCAGTCATTCACACACACACGATGCCTCATTACTCTATGGACACCAATACTTCACCAAAGTGTTGGCCAGTCCTTGGACTCTGTCCTATGCAGGTGTCTGTGCTTGTGTTTGTTCGTTTACTGCTTTGGGTGCACATTATAACTCAAGAAATAACTGAGAAAGCATGAGGTGATTTTATTCATTTTTAAGCATTGCTAAGCAGGAACTGCCAAGTATGCAGGGTTTATGTTCTGCAATTTGCAGAGATGACTAAAATCTATTACAATTACACTTTTGGTTTTGTATCTATTCTATTTGACAGATCATTTGCAATCATTTTGACACCAAATTTATTGTTTCAACCCAAAAAATAAGTTAGAAAACATTCAATGAGTGTAAACATTTTTTGCACCATTGAGGATCCACCCAGGGGATATCAGAAAGCTTACAGTCTGGAATGCACAGAGAGGCTGGACCATAAAAGTTTTAATATAGTCAGTGGTTTAATATAGCCTTTACAGTCATTGGTTCCCAACAAATGAGTCGCCAGACATGGATGAGTGAGTTTAGACGTATGGGAACAAAAAATGTCAGCAAAGCATTTGTAAACACCCTTAAAGATTATTAGTCTCCCTGCTACCATGTCCCCATAATATCAGATCTTATTGCTTAGCGGTGCCTTAGAAACGAGCTGACAAACACTGGGATTACTAGTGCCTGCCTTTAAACACACCCCGAATACTGATCTCCAACAACTCATGAGGCTGACGATCCGGTAATCAGGTTTAATATTCTAGGAGTATTGCCTAAAAGCATGAAAACGAAGTGAGTTATAATCAAGCATGCACTATATGTATGTATGTATTGTTTTACTGGTAAAATTCTCATGCAAGTGGTTGATATGTCTCTGTCTTGAGATAGGCACTAGTGCACCCAGAGACTTTGTTTTGTGATAAATCTGGATATGCTGCCATTTTTTGTTAGCGCTCTAATGTTCCAACTCAATGGTGCATTCCTGAATGTAAGCAATCGAGGTATCTCGGGGTCCTGCTCAGTCACACCCAAAATGTTCATACTCTTAAAGTTTTTCTCAGGTTTTGGGTTATTAATATAGTTGTCAAAATGTTTGAAATTGAATGTGCGAGAATTGCAGCACCACTGCCAGTGTTGGACAGCAATGTCCAACACTTTTAGCACCGTGGGCCACTTCAACACTTAACTTATGAGTCCAGGGTCAAAAATTATGCAATATATATGCAGTTAGAGCTCGTTAACTTGCACTCTGGTAACCTGAATCTTCGAGTAATCAATAAGATTTTTTTCTGGGGTGGGAGGGGGGGAGGTTAAAAAATCCATAATTTTTATGGGGGGGGAGAGGGCTCTTTGAGGCTCTCTGAACTATTACACTGATTCAGTGCCATACTACTCGGTGCCATCAGTCACAGGGTTCTTATTGAACCACCAGCCAGAACCTGGCACCCTCAGGCACAGGGAGCTATGAACTAGGAACACCTTACAACTAAAGTTAATCATGTCTGCCACCAGTCAGCGAAACAAAACAGACTACTGTATGGTTTAAAGGAGACGCAGCCTCAAAAATTAACAGAACAACTCCCCAACAGTGAAAACAAAGCTCCAACATTTAGTTAAACTAGTGCGAGCTAATTTGCCCCACCTTCCCTCTTCGTTTGTGGGGTGGAAGGAGGCGGACCTGGTCAGCCGGCTCACCTCAACCTCAGTTCTTATACTGATGTAACATGGTGCAGGTTGCCCTCTCAGTTGACTCTGGCTCCAGGCTCCAGTTTTCACTAAGTGTTGGTTGCCTTTGAGGCTGTTCTTACACACGTTTGTGTAGTGTGAGCCGGGAGTTATAGTGTGTTAGGAGTTGCCTGTCATCAGGGTTATCTTCCCTGTGTGCTCCTTAAGTGCTTCTCTTGCACAGTCAGGGTTATCTTAACTGTGTGCTCCTTAAGTGCTTCTCTTGCACAGTCAGGGTTATCTTAACTGTGTGCTCCTTAAGTGCTTCTCTTGCACAGTCAGGGTTATCTTAACTGTGTGCTCCTTAAGTGCTTCTCTTGCACAGTCAGGGTTATCTTAACTGTGTGCTCCTTAAGTGCTTCTCTTGCACAGTCAGGGTTATCTTAACTGTGTGCTCCTTAAGTGCTTCTCTTGCACAGTCAGGGTTATCTTAACTGTGTGCTCCTTAAGTGCTGCCCTTGCACAGTCAGGATTATCTTAACTGTGTGCTCCTTAAGTGCTTCTCTTGCACAGTCAGGGTTATCTTAACTGTGTACTCCTTAAGTGCTTCTCTTGCACAGTCAGGATTATCTTAACTGTGTGCTCCTTAAGTGCTTCTCTTGCACAGTCAGGATTATCTTCCCTGTGTGCTCCTTAAGTGCTTCTCTTGCACAGTCAGGATTATCTTAACTGTGTGCTCCTTAAGTGCTTCTCTTGCACAGTCAGGATTATCTTAACTGTGTGCTCCTTA